TGGGGTGGACCAAATGGTGGTCTAAGTCTCCTCAACCTCTATTTCAGGCACAAGTTGTTTTCTAACAATATAGACACTGGCACAGTTTCAAGACCTTCATTTGAAGGCTCCCTTCCTCATCATGGAGTAACTTATTTTGCCCATTATTTGGTTTTGTGTTGATCTTGGATTCAGTTTTTCCCCAAGAACTTTGCCACAAACATACACACACACCCCACACTCTTTGGCATTGCGGACAGGTTCAGTATAGTTCCATGGTCAGAGGGTAAGTTTCTTTCTAGCTGGAGAAATGCACTAATTTTTTTTGTTTCCACTCTGTTTAGTGGATACAGGAACTGTGTATGAAAGCATCACAGAAGGAGGAAGTTTTAAAGATCAGATATCTGTAAGCACATTTTCTGTGAATGGCAAGAAGAAAATTCTTCAAATGCACTTCCTTGATAAATACAGTGACATGATGAAAAAAATTCGTATCTTAAAGGAAAGCAACTACTTTCAGAGACTGTGGAAACAAAAAGCAGAGGAAATCAAGGCAACAATCCCTAAAGACAACATTCTCTTGATAGAAGATGTGCAAGAAAACATTTATAAGCCAGCCATTGCTGATTTTCAGAGTACCTATCTGGCCCTCAAAGATTTTTCCATCACAATTGGGACTGTGTGCAGCCATTTTGAGAAGCAGTTAGCACATGAGAGGCAACTCACAAAGGAGTTTACAATTATGGAGATGAGCGAAGGGAAAGGGAGTGGAAGAGCTGCCTGGGTGGATGATGCCGTGGAGAAGATAAAAAACTACTTGACCCTGTCTACAGTTGTGAACACTGCCAAGATGATTGATGAACTACGGAAGACACTTGAGCTTAATGGAAATTTTCAGATTCTCAACAACCTAACAAAATATGTATGTAGGACACACATGGATACATGGCTTATACTGAGTGCTCTTGTGTCTTCTCTGTTGGCAGGTCTGAATGGGGAACCTCTGCTTTTGTGTGTCTTAACCTTTAACTAAATCAAACTGGACACAATGGGTGGAAGTTTTCTTCTGGAATATAAATTTCACTGTTGTACCAGTCTCTCTTTTAGCCTGGCACCTTTATAAGTCAAGACTGTGATTCAGCTCACCATTAATCAGACTCCTGGTTGTCTGCAAATGAGCTCCCAGTGCCACTAAAGATGCCCAAGGGCATCTGAGGCAACAGTGTGAGCCTGACAGACGCAGACATCTGTGTGTGTCAGCAACCAAATTCTGCATCCAGTGATTTGGAACAAACGGGAAAGTATTATCATCCCCAACCTCCATGGAAATTTCTGGCAGAACCAGGAGTTAAAAACTCCAGGACTTAAATAGTAGATCCCAGCCTAATATTCTCTACCAGCTCCAGTAATTCTTCATTTGTCTTCCACATGTGGGTTTTTTTTCTGCAGCTTTCCAAACCTGGTTGCTCCAATCCTGTAAAAGCTAAAATGTTACATTGTCATAACCTCTCTATTATGGTAGCAATGATGGGGCACTGCATGGGTAGCTCCCAAGGAGCAGCTGGGTTTTCTGTAACTTTTTGTATTTTGCATAGCTTTGCATGTTTTGGACAGGTTTCCCCAAAAATTTAAAATTGGAGCAGACCTAACTTATGTGGAAAGGTCCTTTTAGTGATCAAGACTTCAATGCAGATGTTAGACAAGTTTTATAGCATGACTCTGCCTCTGCTGCAGGGATTTGTTCTGAAATAACCAAACCAGACTTATGAAATAGATTGAATAAGAAGAATAGAGGTCCCTGAGGAGCTGGCCCTTCGGAAGAGACCCTAAGTGGCTAATGAAACGTTGATGTGTGGGGCAGAGGCAGACCTTACCTTCCCTCTTCTCTTACCAAGGGACACACACCAGTATGTCTGTTTGGTTTTTTTTGCAGGAAGAGTTGGAATTCAGGAATCAGAGACTTGATTATATCACCCAGGACTTAATGAAGGTGAAAAATAGTTTGAGCAACCTTCCAAAAGAGATGCTGGACTTTTTGAGGGTACTTCTTGAATGCACAAAGAAAGGCTTTGTCTCCTGGATCAAAACCATAATAAAAGGTGAGTTGTACTGGGATGTAATAGTCATCAGATATGAGAGGCAATAGATGGGGATGACTTTGTCCCTACTTGTCACAACCGCCAGAGGCATTGTATGAATCAACTATGCGAACTCCTCAACCATGAGTCAACTATGAAACTCCTCAACTATGTGTTTCATTTTTAGATTTTTTATTTGCTCTTTTTTTTCCCAGATAAAACAGAAATCCCTGTATTTGTGGAGCTGGCATCAATTTCTGCAGGTGAAAGTGACATAGATATTGACAAAGTCCGGTTCTTCCGTGATGCAATGGCTGCTTCAGCACCCATTATATTTGACCTGAGACCCACATCTGGATTTGAAGAGTTCTCTAAAGCCCTGTCATCCATCAGTGAAACCACTGCAAAAGACAATAATTTGCCCAAGAAGTTGGTGAGTCTACAAATCCCATGTTCCAAAATTAATTGGACCTGTAGTAGAACATCCAAGTAGACATCCAAGTGGGTGTAGTGGATATGATGTAAGACCTATATGAAATCTGTGCTCTTTGGGACTGAAGTCCAGTTGAAACACTTTAAAAGACCTCACATGTCTATGTGAGGGCAAATGGAGGAGACCAATTAGGTGTCATGTGCAGAAGAAAGTGAATCCGATGTTCTGTGTTTTAATAAAGACTAGTCTAGCATTGACTTGCATAATCCCCTCCACATAAACTGTAACATCCTCTTCAGGATACCATTCCACTGACATCCTTCCTTCAAATTCCCAAAGACTGGCAGAGAACTGCAGCTTCACAAAATACTTGCTCACTGACTTTGGTGTTCAGAAAGCTAGTAAGATAGATGCAGATTTGGGTGCAACAGCTATGCTTTGTCTCTTCAGGTGCAGCGGGCACAAGAAACCCTACTCTTTCCAAAGTGGGGTTTGGTAAGATCCTTAGAGATCTGGCAACTGGTTATTAGGTTTCATTCTGTTGTGTTGGTTTTTTTCTTTAACAGGAAGCTTCTTGTGATAACAGAGAGTGGATCCAGATGGTTCATGACTCTCATGGCTCCATAGAGCGTTCCTCAATCTCTCAAGCCAAAGACATCAACAGTAGAGGGATTTTTATCATCTCGGCACCTCAAAAATTAAAGGTAATGGTTGTCCACAATTTGAAGAGTGCTTTTCAGGGGATTGTGCCCAAATAATTTAACATGTTTGAAATCCATTTCCAAGGAGTATGTCAGCTAGCCAATTTATCTGTTTTGAAAGAAGTACAACCTCGTGTCACATTTTCCATTAAGCCTTGGTCATTTGCAAGGCAAAACAGGCAGGTTGTTTTGATCCCAGGGAGGAGAGGAAGCAATATTTTAATACGGAAAAGAAGTCATATGATCACTGAGAAAGTGAAAAAAGGAAAGGGAAAGATTTAAAATGAGAAATGCCACTCCATTGTTCAAGGAGAGCAGTGCCTGTAACATACTCTGAAAGAGTGAGCCCTGCACAACAAGAAGGGAAAAGGAATGAGGCGTATCTTAACACATGGGAAAACTTTATGTTTGGCTGTGATATGCAGGGATGTACTACTATTATTCTTGAAGACCCATTGCACAAGGGTGGGGAATTACACAGAGAAGAGGTAAAGCGAGGCTGATCCTCTTACTTGCTTTCCAGACTGCTCTTGAGGACTGTGTTTCAGTGCACCTGCTGAAAGAGTCCACAGAGGAGGAATCTCAGACAGATCAGAATGATAAAAAATACAACCTGGCTCAGCTCACAGAACTCCAGAACAAGCTTATGTTGATCACCACAAAAATTGAGCAAGGCAGAGAGGAGGCAAACCGCTTCCTGGAGGTAAGCCACAGTGCAACATCAATAGGTGCTTGGAAAACAGTGTCCACAAGGCTTGTGATTTTTGGCTGGAATTATTTCGTGGAGACTCACTCTTCACCTTTAGCTCTGACACTTCAGGAACAGAGGTATCAGACTCCTAGATTTCACATGTAAAGCAAATTATAAATACAGGCATTCCCTTGCAATGTGGTGATGGTGGAGTGTGTAGAAGTCTGACTCTCTGATGTCTTGGCCTCACCTGCATGTTAATTATGTGTATATCTCCACCCAAGAAAGCCATCTAGCCTCCTGCTGCAGTGAATGAAGAGAAACAGGAAACTCCAGGGGGGTGATGGAGGTCACTCCAATGTGGGCACCCACAGCGAGCCAGTTACGTCACATACCTTTTCCTTATTTCCTATACAAACTGTTTATTCAGAAGGTGTTTGAAGTGAGGTGTTCTCTTACATACCCGAGGAACCACTACAACTGCTTGCTGTCTATCAATTGCAGGCAGTGCAATACTGCAGTCAGAGGTGAAGAAACCTCACAAGAGCCAAGTATTTCAAAGGTGGTTATTCTGAGGTTGCGATAGAGCTCATCATACTCTTTAGGAGTGAGACAATGGAGCTGTCCTTCATCTATGGACTTCCTTCCCCCAGTAGACATGTGCTATGTGGAACTGGTATTTTTGAAGAGTAGTAGAAGTCTTCCAGGAAAACATGCACTTCTAGATCATGTTCTTGGCCAAGAAATGTATCCTGAGAAGAGACTGGACATAAAAATTGAGACAAATGGATTTTGGGGTTTTTTTGATTAACAGGTTTAAATACATCCTTGGAAGAAAATGTAACGTGAAAAGTATTCAGTAGTTGTTGAAAACACGCAATAATCCATTTCCCTATTTTGTCTGTGGCATGTTACAGATCCTGGAAAAAGTTCAAATGGTTGGGAAGTTGTACCTGCAACTTCTCAGTGCTGGCAATATCCTCTTCATTGACTGGAAGGCTGACATCTACTGCAGTCCTCAGCGCAGAGTAAAAGTTTACACAGAATTTGGAATTGCTGGCATCCTTGTTCAGAGCACCAGACCTGTCCTGGAAGAGCTGGATGGCCTTTGCAAAGCAATGGAGCACTGTCTGATAGAGTGGAAGAAATATCTGGAGACTCAAAGGGACACCTACTATCATCTCAACCTGTTCACTGCACACCAGCTCTTCTACCTATGTAGCCAACTAGCCAAAGCCCACAATAGTGTAATAGAGCCACAGATTCTTAATATGCTTTCTGTCATAAAGCATGACATTAAAGCAGAAGATATTAGAAAAGCCCTGGAGCAAGCCCTCATGACTCCACTTGACTCTGTCAACACATCAGCAGGAAGCAATGAGTCTGTTACTTGGCATGACTATGTCATTCGTTTTCCCCAGCTCATCAAAAACCTGGCTGAATCTGGCTACAATACGTCAGTGGCGAAGGCAGCCTTGCAGAGCTGCCTTCAAAACTCTGACATCACAGAGCAGAACCTGATGAATTTTGCCTTTGAATGGGGTGATAACAAGGAAGTGGTTGAAAACCTGAGCAAACTGTATGATGAGCAGCAAGAAGCATTTCTGCAGAAGTCAAGGAAGTTTAAAAACAAGAACAGAAATGTTGACCAGGCAACTTTTAGCACCCTTGCTGAAGATGAACTGGCTACCTCCTTTGAGAGTTTGCCATCCATCTGTGACAAGGTGAATCTGCTCTGGGACGCTTACTGTAAGAAATTCACTGGCCTTGTGTCAGACAAGTACATCAGCCTGGATGTCTTCGGTGAAACACTGAAGCAATTAGCAGCTCTCGAAACTATATGTATCAAGAGAAGTTTACCAGTAAGCCTTGAAGCCAGGAAACCTTCTCTCATCATGTGTAAAGAAGAAGAAATGTTACTCTACATGCTCTCCATTTACAGACACACCAAGACAGAGCCTCTCCCAACATATGATGAGGTCCTGGTGTGCACACCAGACACAGAGGAGGAAGAAGTGGAGCTGATTGTTAGGAGAGCTCTTTCATCTGATTCTCAGAACCAGAAAATCTACTGCTTGCTAGGTGCTGAGAAATTAGTGTACAAAGTTTCCAAACAACTAGAGTCCCACTTCTTCCGCTTGCTGCAATCTTCTACAGTCCCTGACTATAGGTTCATTATCTTTTGCAATGCCAAAGCGCTTAATTCTTATGTTATCACAGCCTTCGACACCTACAAAGTTACTATCCCATGCTACTCTGAGACAGAAATCCAGGCATACCTGAGCACACATCTCAAAGTGCCTTGTGGAACAGCCCCAGTTGCTCAGGCCTTCGAAGAGCCCTATCAGCAGAATGTGAAGTTCATATTTTCAAATCAAGCAGGAATGGGTAGGTGTTAGTAGTCCTACTGTCAGTCATGTCTCAAACCAAGAGTCCTTGAGAGAAAAGTGGCATGCAATGGAGAGCCTTCCACTATCCTCGTGTTTAGTTTTGGGTAGTGAATTTCAAGAGGGATTTTAGGCTACCTGGAAAGAGTCCAAAGGGGAATGACAACACAGCCTAGAAAACACAAACTTCAGGGAGCTGCATTTATCTAATCCAGAGAGAAACAAATAATAATCTGAGACTCTGGGAAAGAGCAAGAAACAAGACTCCCATAGGAATTGGAGTCAATTGCCTAAACAAGCCCAGATGTCCTCTGAAAGACCATAGGCTAGCCCAGCTGGCCTCCACCTGCTGTTCCAGAACGGAACAAGTGCTCTGTAGGCCCTTAGCAAGCTTTAGCAGGATGTCTCATGCTTTCTACCATTTCCAAAACTTTTCAAGACATGTCTCTTTAGACAGCAAGGTTTTCTGACATTTTGTAGGGCATTTCTGAGGCAAGTTGGTCAAGATCCAGCCTTCTGGCTATCTGTACTGGTAACCTCAAGGGGCTGGAGTGGGGATATGAGTTCTGTCTTGTGATAAGCCATACTGCTAAAATTGTGAGCACAGACTTGGAAGATATCCCTTATGACTGGGACCAGGTCCCAGGTATTGTTCTAAAGAGGCTATTGAGAGATGGCTACTGAGTTTGGAGAGAGTTCAGATGTCTGGAGAATAACTGTCCCATGCATGTGAAAGGGCAGACTGACTCTGAAGGTGAATCTTGGCTGTCTCTTCTGTTCCTTAGGGAAGTCTCTCTTTGTGGACAATACCCTCCAAAAGATCCGTGCCCAGCTGGATGATTTACCAGTGGTTCACAAAACCATTAGGCTGATGGAGTCAGAAATTGATTTCCAGTTCCTTCTGGAGGAGCTACTCTCTGTTGAGGAATTCCCGACTGAAAGTCAGCCCACTGTCTTCCACATTGATGTGTCACCAGTGGTGAGTCTTTGTCTTGGTGGTTTAATGTGGAGTGTCCAAGACCTCATGGGTTTTTTTAGAGGAGGGTGTTTGCACAGCCTCTTCTGCTGGCTTGTTCTCCTCTACAGTAGTAGCATCAGGTGCTTAAAAGTTAAAGTGAATAGCAAGAGTTCTGGGTACAGTTTGGAAGCTCAGGTGCCTGCATGTTCCTTGTTCCATGCCCACAGATGTGGAAGCTGTGTGAAATGGGTCCCATTTCATAAAAGCAATCTTTTCCCCTACAGTGGTATTGATCAGAGAGTAGGGCACTGGAGGATAGCTGACCAATCAGGTCAGACATAGAAGCCCCCATACACAGGGAGAAGGAGGAATGGATTCTCCAGCTCACATCCAGTCTGGTACCTCTCTGGAAGGCTTTATTTAAAGCAATGGTAGTGGTCTTAGAGCCAAGGGTGAATCCAGATGACCTAGTCCTACCTTGGAGGGCTGCAAAGTACCAAGCATTCGAATGTATTAACAGTTGCAGCTGTCTCAGTGTGTGCTAGAAGAGCAATTCTACACAAGAATGGGAGCAAAGCTGTAGCCTGGCTGCAGGTACAACTACCTGCTGTGGGTAATGGAGTAAGTGTGTTTTGATAGACATATCTTTCAGCAGTTTTCAAATGTTTCTTCCCTGCCAGGTGTCAACAGGTCTCTATCGGCTGCTGATTGAGCTATGCATCCTAAGACACATCCAGAGTCCCAGCGGCTTGGTCTGGAAGTGCAAATCCTCTCATCTTTACTTGATTGAGTACCTGGCAAAAGGGAAAGGTGTTAGCAGAACAAGGAAACATGAGGTATTGCTTTGGGGATGGTGTGCAAGTCGTTAACATAACCAGGTCTTCATCTGCAGTAAACCTGCTAAAGTACAGTGTCTTTTTTAAAGAGTGTAGTGATGGCTCATCTACATAGAAACAAGTAGCCACACCATATGTTTACTCTGGAAAGGAAATGTAAGGTGCTGTTTGGGGCTCAGGCCTTTTTCAGTTCATTCCTGGTGTAACACAGACATCCCACATGTTCAAAAATAATAGAAGTCTCCCTTATGAGAAATGAGGGAGGACATTCTAAAATAGGAAATTAGGGATATGATGGAGAGTTAGAACATCCCGAGTGGCCTGGAGAGGGTGAATGGGGAGCAAGCATCTACCCTCTCTTCCAGAACAAGAACCAGATGCATTAAACAATGTTCACAAGATCAGTTTAAAACAAATGAAAAGGGGGTGAAGGGATTGATTCTTCATGGTATGGGTCATAAACCTGTGAGGGTCTCTGCCAAAGAGGGCTGTGTCTGCACCCTTTGACAGGTTGACACACAGGCAAAGTGAGTCTGGCCAAGTATTTGGAAGGGAAAGGCATTGTGAAGATGGAGAGAACTCTGTGTTGAAATCTGTCTATTTGGCAGATCATTTGGTGGGTAGAAATAATCACGCTTGCTCTATTCTAGCTTTTCATTGGACATCCACTCAGCACCAAGACCTTTCAGGTTGTGGGGACATCAGTACATATCTGTCTAGGAATATGCATGCAGGCTTGGACAAATTTGATCTACATGTGATTTTCCCAGCTTGCAGTCCTATTTTTGTGCAGAAAAAAAAGCTCTTAACTGTAGGGAAATGCAGAAGTTTGGGCAACTGTCCTCATTGTAACCTGTGCACTCATTATTGACTTTGGTTTAGATATCCAGTGAAACAGAAGAAAAGTTCCTGGATCTTTTTCCTACAGTGAAATGTGTATCACCAATGCGGGTACTTGAGTTGCTGGAAAACCCGTGCTCTGGTCGCCTTTCTGAAATGAAAGAGGAGCAGTTTGACCGAAACAAGTTGAAGAGTGAAGCTTTCCAGAGGTCTTACCAGTACCTCAGCAGATATAAGAGAGAGGAAGATCTTGACCGTTTCTTTTTCAATTCTGAGAGGACTGAGGGGACAGAGAAAGAGTGGCTGAAGCTCTTACTGGAATTCTGTGGAAGACATAACCCTTCCTGGACCGAGCTAAGCAACTTCACTCATTTCCTAAACTTCCAGCTAAGCAAGTGTGAGAAATCGGTTTTCTGTGGTCCAGCAGTCGGAGAAGATTTCCAGGGGTTTAAAACATTTGTGATAAAGTTCATGATCACTATGTCCAAGGACTTTGCTGTGCCCTCTCTTGACATCTCTGATCAAAGTGTGGCAAGTGCAGAAAGTGATGATGAGGGAAACAACATTATGAGACAGTATCAGCTAAGACGAAAATGGGAACAAGAGCCCCACCCCTATATAGTCTTCCATGCAGACAATGACTCCATGGAGTTCTTGGGTTTCCACATCAGCAATAACTTGGATGCTATTGATGCTCATTCTAAAGCTGTTTTGGAAAGGAATGTTATCAAACGGAAATTATACCGCACTTTGAAAGCCCAGCATGTTCCATTCAATAAGAAGTTTGACGACTTGCCTAGAACAATGCAGCTGGAGGCCCTCTGCAGAGTTTTTGGTGTGAGCTACACTGAAGATCCAGATGAATCATATCAGCTGACACTGGATAACACCATGAAGATGCTTGCCATTCACCTGCGGTTCCAGTGTGGGATACCTGTAATCATCATAGGTGAAACAGGTTGCGGAAAGACAAAGCTTGTGCAGTTCATGTGCAGCCTGCAAAGGGCAGGCAGGGACATTCAGAACATGGTGGTGGTACGCGTCCATGGTGGTACTACTTCCAAGACCATCCACAATAAAGTTAGGCAGGCAATTATGCTGGCACGTAGCAATGAAGAAAGGCACAAAGTAGACACTGTACTCTTTTTTGACGAGGCCAACACATCAGAAGCTATCTTTGCAATCAAAGAGGTGCTGTGTGATCGCAGTGTAAATGGAGAGAAGATTCTCACTGACAGTTTAAAAGTAGTAGCTGCTTGCAACCCTTACAAAAGGCACACCAAGGAAACTGTAGAGAAACTTGAAAAAGCTGGCTTGGGGTACCAAGTCCGGAGTGAAGACACACTGGAGAAACTGGGCTCCATTCCTTTGAGACAGCTGGTATATCGGGTCAAACCCCTTCCACCTAGCTTATTGCCCCTTGTCTGGGATTTTGGAGAGCTGAATGAAAAGACACAGAGCCTCTACATCAGAGAGATTGTAAAGTCCACCATGAAGGGCAAGATCGCTATTGGAAATTTGGACATCTTTACCAGTGTCATTTCAGCCTCCCAGAAGTTTCTCAGGAACAAAAAAGATGAATGCAGAGTTGCCAGTCTTCGGGATATAGAGCGCTGCATGAGCATTACGCTTTGGTTTTATAAATTAAGAGACCTGCTATTTCCTCAGATTGATAAGAAGAAGCAAAAGAAGCCAATCTTGAGTGATGCACAAAGGGCCTTGGTCCTTTCAGTGGGAGCTTGCTATTATGTATCTCTGGAAAGCCGTGAAGATTACCTGCAGGAGGTTGCAAAATGCTTTTCTGTCTCTGCAGAAAATGTCTCTGCATCCCTGTTGCAGCAAGAGATTGAGCTTTGCCAAGAGGTGTTTCTTGATAACATCTCTGTTCCTGAGGCAACAGCCCGCAATGATGCTCTGAAGGAAAACATCTTCATGTTAGTCATATGCATGGACCTACGAGTTCCCCTCTTTCTGGTTGGGAAGCCAGGAAGCTCCAAATCCCTGTCTAAAACCATTGCTGTGGATGCCATGGAGGGCAGGCTGTCCAAAGAACAGTTGTTCAAAAGATGCAAGGAAATCCAGCTGGTGTCTTTTCAGTGCAGTCCCCATTCAAAGCCAGAAGGGATCATCTCCACTTTCCGACAATGTGCACAGTTCCAGAAGGAGAAGAATCTGGATGAATTTGCATCCGTGGTCCTCTTGGATGAGATTGGCCTTGCAGAAGACTCACCAGAGATGCCACTGAAGACACTGCACCCTCTTCTTGAAGATGGGAGTGTTGATGATGAAAACCCAGAACCTTACAAAAAAGTTGGCTTTGTGGGCATTTCAAATTGGGCCTTAGACCCTGCCAAAATGAACAGGGGTCTTCTTGTACTTCGAACTGACCCTAGCAAAGAAGAGCTAGTTAAAACAGCAGAGGGCATCTGTGCTGCACAGCCTCACCTTGAAAGGATTAAATATTTATTCCCTTTGCTGGCAGAATTCTACTGCGAGGTCCTAAAAACACAAAAAAACGAGTTCTTTGGGCTCCGTGATTTCTACAGCTTGATCAAAATGATACTGTCCTACACCCAGGACAAGCAGTGCATCTCTCAAGAGGAGATCATTATAAAGGCCATTCAGAGAAACTTTGGAGGCTCCAGTGATATCAGTCCTGTTGAGCTCTTCCGAAACTGCATCAGAGAGCTGGATCTTCAACCTGACTTGGAAACCAGCCACACACTTCGTTTGCTGAAGGAAAATATGGGCAAGCAGCAGGCAGGACTCATGTCTCGATACCTCCTGTTGCTGACAACCAACCATGCAGCTTTCCACATCATCCAGATGACACAGCTTATAGATGCTGAGAACTGTGAAATCATATTTGGCTCTGGTTTTCCACAGGACCAAGATTATTCCCAGGTATGCCGGTCTGTCAGCAGGGTGAAGATCTGCATGGAGACAGGCAGGCCTGTTGTTCTTTTAAATATACACAACCTTTATGAGAGCCTTTATGATGCACTCAACCAGTGCTTCGTTACTCTGGGGGGAAATTACTATGTGGACCTGGGTCTTGGCACTCACAGAGTGAAGAGCCGTGTGAAGGGTGAGTTCAGACTCATTGTGATAGAGGAGAAGAACATAGTCTACACCCAGTTCCCCGCCCCACTTCTGAACCGGCTGGAGAAGCACTGCTTGGACATGAACACTGTTCTGAACTGGCAGCAGCAAGAGCTGAAGAAGGACCTGCAGTCCTGGGCCAGGCGATTTGTCTCCGTTGACAGCAGTAAGTTCTCCAACATTTGGTCCAAGGAGTCTAGCCCCAAGGAGCACGATGTCTTCATCGGTTTCAGCAATGACACATCTGCAACTGTTGCTTTGGAGAGCACTCAGAGCAGGTCCTGGGGAGACCTTGAGCCCTACGAAGAGCCCGTGCTCTCTATTGCCAAAAGGAAACTTGTTCAGTGTGCAACCCCTGACTCCATCTTGCGTCTTAAGTACTCCGATCTGGATGATCCTGAGCAGATCCAAGACTTGTACTTCCACAAGCAGAAACACAACAGCCTTCTTAGTGTTTTGGGAGAAACAGTTAACTGTCAGCCAAGGAAGGAGAGGACCGCTGGGCTCTGCCTTCAGGTACGTGTGCTTCACTGTAAAGCAGTGAGAGTGATCTTTATTTTCCTGATGAGGGAAGTTGCCCCATGACCTCCATTAAGCCAATGGATAAGTTCCACTATTGAACAGTGGTGGTCTCCTACCTGCCCTCTTTGGCTCATGCCCCATCAGTTGTATCACACATGTGCCTGGCTTCTGCCCTGTGGTCCTCTGCAGTCAGAGTGAGCTCTGCTTCTCCTCTTGACCCAGATATGTTGGATCTGCTAACAGGAAGGCAGTGGGTGCTAGCTCCTAACTTGTAAGGCTCTGAAGATTTAAGGCTAAGACACACAGGGCATCGTTGATTGCCTGTAGAGAAGTGACAAGCACCACTGGTGATGCTGTGGGGATCCCACCAAGCCTCCAGCAGGACTTTAGGTAGTTCTGGCAATTCTCCAAGTCCTGGATCATGCCCACTGCCCCCTGACATCTATTTTTGGGAATTGTTGTTCCAAAGAAATCATCCTAATCACTTCTCCAGTGACTATCAGAGGAACTCAGGAATCTGTGTTGCATAGAGGCATCTAAAAGGGTAGCAGCTGAATCCCCAAATGGGATCTACAGTACTGGGAGTGAGTCAGCCCAGTAGAGTCCCATGTGGGGACTGTTGTGCTAGGCCCATAACTTTGCATGGAAAGGCTCTTCTAGCCCTCAAGGTTTGAAGTGCTCATGCAAATCTCCCAGCAGGATTCCTTTGGAGTCACTGTCTCACAGCATCTGAGTCATTCCTAAGGTTGCAGCTCAAGTCTAAATCCCTTGTAGCACAAGGAATCAGGGTTTTTCTGGTTGTTAACAATTCTCCCACCCTTTTTCCCTGTAAGTAGGGCACATTCTTGAGTATTGCCTTTAGGAAGAACTTGAAAAGGTCCATAAGGAGATCACTTCAGTTTTCCCAATTGGTAGTACAATGCACAATATTTCCCTGGAATTAATTTGCCCTTCACTGCAGGTTTCTACACATGCAAGACTTCTAAATGAGAGAGATTTAGAAAAGATAAGGAAGACACTTCAACTTCAAGATAAAATCCTCTGCCTCTTTCTAAGCCAGTTCGACACTGAGTACGCTTTCCGCCAGGAACTCAGGTCAGGAGAGATTTCCTTCTCATCTTTGTTAATTTTGTAGATTGAGGTTTTGGGGAAAGGGGGCGAGGGGGAGCAGGGAGGGTAGAGAACAGAGGTGTTTTTATGAATAGAGCAATAACAGACCATTTCATTATCTGCAGGAATTTTTTTGCGCAATCATCAGAAGAGAAGTTGCTCCTCATCCAGTTTCACTTTGAGGAGCCACAAAGCAGCAAAAGGCTTCTAGCTTGTGCCAAGTAAACATTCTTCCTTCTTTCCTATGTTTTTCTGTAGTCAAGTGCAATGGTAAGGGAAGATGCAGTGGCCAGATAGCCATGGGATATAGCTTTGGTTTTAGTGACCTGTTGAGTGGAGTCATTGCAGTTGTTCTCATATGTCTTCATGTGTATATTTGTGTGTGTGTTCATGCCTATGTTCTGTAGCTTAAATTTCCAGCCTGTGTTTGTTAAGATAAAAGAACCCTAACAGCTCAGCTTTAATTTGTCTGAAAGAGCATCTTCTTCATTCTGGGAGCATGCTCGATACATCTTTCCCACATTAAAACCAACTTCCTCCAGCATGGTTGACTCATACAGCACAAATTACTCCAAACAGACACTGAACACCATGTGACTTTTTTCCCTTCAGTCATCAAACCGAAGGACTGAAACTGACATCTGGTGCCATTTGAGACATCTGAGGGATCCAAGACACCTCTCAGGGCTGGCCACTGGCACCAGTTAGGGCTTAAGTCATTGACAGTTGCATTATATGAGGTTGATCTCAAGCCCTTGAAGTACATTACAGACACGCTCCCCCAGTCAGACACATTCCCTCTCAATATGATCCCTCTTACCCCCTTTCTCACTCACCTACATTTCCTGTTTGTGTCCTTTCTTCACTGTGTCAGCTAATGTGCATGTTGTCTCCTGGAATGCTTTGTTCTGGGTGGATTTGTGCTTTTCTAGAGAGGGACTTGAACTTTTCTGGTCCTACTTCTAGGAAAGTTATTCTGGGTTTTAGCCTGTTTCCTAGCAAGTCCTGGATTGGTCTGTGTTATGGCTTTTGCTGTCTAATTTTTCTGTATGTTTGTGGCAAATATTGCTAATGTTATTCCCATGATTGCCAGAAAGAACATATGATTGGGCAGAGACCCATACTTACAACAAAACAAATTCAGATTAAAATAAAAATTCAGCGTTCAGCAGGGAGGGAAATTTGTCATGAAAGAGCTTGCTGAGTCATGTGACTAAGTCATTGCTTGGAGAGAGTGTAGGGGAGATAGACGGGCATGAGTCTTGAAGTAGCCAACACCATCTCTGCTCTTGGCCTTGCCAGAGCAGGGCTGGGCTGAGCTTCTGTCTTCCCTTTCCACCACTGCAGAGCAGCCACACCTCGAACTGTTGGTCTTTCTAAAAGCTCTGCCTGAGACCGGGAGAGGCAGGGGATGGCGTTGGGAGATTCTCCGCCCAACTGAGAGTAAAAATGGACTTCTTAGCCTCTCTGTCCTGATTCTAGGTACTGTATCATAGATGAGAGAAGGAAATCAACAGGCACAGGCCCGTCACATGTTGTCCTAACCATTCAAGTCCCACGAGTTCTGGGAGGCTGCAGCTACCTGGCATTTGACAGTGGTAATGTTGAAATTCCTACTTTGGATCAGGGAGAGAGTGGGAGGGAAAGAAAAGGTTGTGCAAGGGCAAGAAATAGGATCCGGGGAACTACAGACCAGATAGCTTCACACTGATCCGTGGAAACCTTTTCCAAATACATGAAAAGCAATAAGTCAGCACAGATTTATTAATGGGAAATCAAGTCTGAACAAACAGTTAGCCTTCTCTGATGAGATGACTGGCTTGGTGGATGAGGAGAGAATGGTAGATGGTGTTTATCTTGACTTTAATAAGTCTTTTGACACTGTATCCCATAACATCCTCACTGAAAAAGTAATGAAGTATGGACTAGATAAATGGGCAGTGAGTTGGATTGACAAGTAGCTAAAATGCTGCGCTTAGGTTTTGCTTAACAGCACAAAGTCCAGCTGGAGGCCAGTCACTAGTGGTGTTACCTCAAGGATCAATACTGGGGCCAATACCATTTAGCATCTTAATTAATGATGCAGATCATGGGACAAAGTGTACCTTCAGTAAGTTTGCTAATGATACAAAACTGGCAAGAGTGGCTGATACACAAGAGGGTCATGCTGCCATCCAAAGGGACCTGAACAGGCTGGACAAATGGGCTGACAGGAACATCATGAAGACACTTCAGTGGTGTCTCATGACAAGACAAAAGGCAATGGGCACAAACTGAAATACAAGAAATTCCATGCAAACATAAGAAAAAATATCTTTATGTTGAAGGTGGTCAAACACCTTTTGAGTTATAGGATCATTTTCTTTCCTAGTCAATGGATGAGAATGACAGTTAGGGCATTTGTGCCCTTTAGCACTAGGAAGGGAGGAACAGAATGATATAAGAGAAGTGTGTCTTCCCTCAGAGCAAAAAGAAACAGGAGGTGGTAAATCTCCCATGTCTCAATATCTTGTTACCCAGGCTGCTGGTAGGCCAGGGCAGCCAATGTTTATTGATTTTTCTGGGTGGGTGTGGTGCACCGAGGAGAGTGGGTCAACTCTTCACGGGAGTTATGTCCAGTACTACTTTTTCTGTCATGCTTACTGCCTCCTCAGGTGAATGGATGTCGATCCACTTGGATGAACTGATGCCCCCAGACAACTTTACAGCCAATCTAGGCCAGCTTGCTAAAATGACTATTGCTGAGATTTTCATGACCACTTTGCAGGGGCATCTCGCAACAGGTAACCAGCCACTTGCTTTTCACCCACTATGTGCACAGCCCTTCCTCTGAATTGCATTTGCTCCATCTATAGCTGCAAGTACAGCTAGATCAAGTGGTATTTGGAGGCAAGATTAAGTGGTCTGTGGAGGCACTGGCCCCGGGTCTCAACAGGATTTACTGTACTTGTGGTTTCTGGAGTCCTCACAGCACTGCATTTTTTTCCTCCTAATCTGCAACGGGGTACCTAAGATTGTTCTTCGGTTACAATAGCAAATTGTATTGCTGTGGCATTCAGCACACAGTAGACACACGCTTATTCACTCTGATTTCCGGCAAGTCTTTCTGCCCACCTTGCCCAAATAAAACCACTAAGTGCTCCTGATCTGGTGAGTTCAAAGCCAACTCAGTACATCCCTGCCATTATTTTCAGGATGTATGGACAAAGGGTGGCAGGAGCACTTGAGATGGACTCCACATCATGTACTGGCACACTTGCATTTGCTACAGGGTACCAATGAAAACTGAGATCTGGTTAATGGTCAATTAGCCCTGGAGGGGACAAAGTCAAGATGATTGAAATTTTTTAGACTGACAGCTTTGCAACTTTTTGTTGATTGTTGAGGGACTCCAGGTGCTTCCTTTAGATAGAGGTGTCTATTTTTCAGGTTTCTACACTTTTACAAATGAGTCTTATGAGTGATTGTGATTTCAGGTTCTCCAGAGGAATCTAATGCTCTTGAAGATCCAGACAAGTCCAGTCTTCTTCCAGAAGAAAATGTATGATTTTTTTTTTCTTATTTCAGCTGCCTGACATTACACAGGAACTGTTTTAGGAAACAATAAAATTCATAGGTAGTTATGCCGGTCCCTGGTTCGGATACTATATTTGCCACAGAAAAAAGTAGTTGCAGGTCTTTGTGAGTTGGACAGTGAGGGTGACGTGGTCCCCATCCTAGCACAAAGCCAGAGTAGGCACATTCAAGACTCTTGTGAACTTTCACAAAGCATGAAATATCTTTCCCTGTTTCTCCATCCCTTGCCAGGGCTTTTAGCACTTCTCTGCAGTGTTGGGATTGATTTACTAGGGATGAGATAGTGAAGTAGATGTATACCTGGGAGTCCATTGTGTCAAGTTAAGTAGGAATTGACAGAGCAAATGCAATGGAGTGTTAGGCAATATACTGACCTCCCATCTTTTCCATTTGCAGCTCCTCAGCATGGACTCTATGATCAAACAGAGCATCCAGAAAGCCGTGATCCAGCTGGAAGACAAACCAGACAACAGTCGACGTGCCACTGAGAGAATTACGATTATTCATAACTTGCTTTGCCGGGATCATGGTAGAACAACATGTAAGTAAAAACCGAGGCCCAGAGTGGGTTGGGTTTTTTATTTATGCATGACTGCCTCTTGTACATGGCAAACCATGGAACAGGGGAATGAAATTAGTGTTTTAATGATCTCTTCTGGTGCCTATCTAGGCCAGCATTGGGGAGGTCCCAGAAGAGAGAGGACTAGGTTTGCTTACGGTTCTGCTGACTAGGTTCAGCTCTCCATGTTGTGTGTTCTCAGAGTCTGTACTGAAACATCCAGTATTTTGCATGAGATTTGATGACCTTGATAGAAAAACCTGAGGCAGAGCTCACTTTATACCCCCATGACTCTTTCGGAGTCCAAACCCACCCAACTGATTTTTACATAGAATTGATAACAAATTATTTGTGGAGGTGATATGGTGTCTTGATAGGAAACTGTGGCTTCAGCAAAATGGAAAGGGTCTGATTTCATCAGAAACCAAGTACCAAAATCCTTGTAGGTCCATTTGGAAATTATTCTTTCCTGCATATGGGAGGACTTTGTCATTGTGGTGGATGACTTGCTCTTCTTTGAGCAATGGGTTCCTGTCAGGTGCCTAGGATGATTGTTAATGACTGAAAAACAAAATAGACCATACTGCCACTTCAAAAATGTGGTGGGTCTTGGAAATCCTTGTAGTCACATGGCAAAACCAGAGTTTATTCTGTACTAAATTTTGGCTATAAGAAAATGTCACTCACAAAAAGAAGTTTTCTTGTCATTGCATAGTGACACCTTCATGCCTCAACATAATGCAGGATGAATTTTGCTTGCGGTTATATCAGTACTGAAATAAAAATGATTCCATCAATTTTATTTTATATTGATACCAATGCCATACAGATAAGAACAGGATGTCAACCCTTCTGCAGCACTGTGACTATTCTTGTGACATACATACAATTCTAAACATTTCTCCATATCAATATGAATATCATAGTATTTATTACACCAAAGAACCTAATTCACACCATTATTTTTAAAAGACTGAGACAGAGAGAAGTGGATTTTCTTTCCTTGATCAAAAATGGCATGTCTTTACTAAATGTTGCCCCAACTCACTAGAAAAAAAAAGGAAAGGGAAGACTAGGGTACAATATAAAGCCCCTGGACTTTATTGTGGAGGAAAACCAAGAACTTTCATAGAGGTCACTTTCTATGACTGGCTTTACTTTGACTGAAAACTTTGCATGGAAACACCTTTCATTCAAATGCTTTAATAAACATCATATTATAATTAGTTTCTAGTAATTTTATGAGTGTGCTGAAAACGAGAATTTGCCACCTCCTGCAAGAACGTGAGAAAATAAGCTTTGAGCCAAGGGAGTGGGTTTTCCGCAGAGCTGTCTCCAGTGAGTTCATCCTTGAAGACTCTTCATTCAGGTACTTTTATCTATGCAGCCCTTTCCAAATTTCTAACAGGTCTGTTTCTGAGAGTCTTAAAAGAGTTGTAGTGTGTGAATCACAATACTTAATGGGGCTCAGATACGATGACCAGGAGGGATATCTCTATCCGGTGTACAGAAGTAGATGTGAGTTTCTGATGAATAGGTGATTGATCAGGTACAAGGAAGGCACTTGACCAGCCATGTTATCACTTCTAGGCATGCACTCTGGATGCATTTAGAAGACATTGTGGCCAATCTGTTTGCTCAAATTCTCGCAGTGGCGGATGCAAACAACAACCTGGATCATCTCTCTCCACTGTCTCCACTCTCAGAACTGTGGCTTCAGATGTTCAAAGAAGAATCATTCTTGAGAATTAAATATACCAGCAAGTAAGAGACTTGGTGGAAAAACACAGTATGTACATTAGAAGAATAAAAACCTGCCTTCATAATTCACCCCTCTGTGGTTAAAAAACAAGTTTGAACTTAAGATAAGGTCATACAGCTTATAGCTTACCCACGAAAGTCCTTTGTGTGATAACATTGGAATCAAAGCCTTCCTGTTCACTTAAACCTTCATCAGCTCAGGAACATTAGTGAGGAATTCCAGTTCTTTGGAACAGTGATAAACACAGGATAAAGTCAGAAACAACAGGCCCAGGATTTAGAAACTTGAATTTGAGTTCCCTAAGGTCAGAGCATATGAATACACTCCCCAGCACAAAATGCGTTTCCTGTCCAACAATCACATTTTAATTGATCAGTCAGCTTATTCTGAACAGCAACTATGGTCAGAGACAAAAAGAGATGTTGTCTGACTCAGTTGCCTTTCCCCGGCTTCAGTCTTTTAGCCTTCAGCTCCCAGTGACAGGAGCTTTTTCTGTTCCTGACTTGTTTTCACAATTGCTGAGCTTTTACGAAATTTTTTTCTGTGCTTTTTAACCTTTTTAGCATAACATATACCAGTGGCAGTCAGAAATTTCTCAGTGGTGCTTCAGTTCAGTACATATAGAGCATATTACGTGATTGTTTCATTCTGTGCTGTTTAAGGAAACAAGATGCTAAGATTTCCGTGTTGTCAATGACCGAAGACCCCAACACATCTGTGTTTTGCCAATTCCCATTCAGCTGGGTTTTGAAGGCGTACCTGGAGGAACTATGGGAGAGAGTCTATAATATGAAAGGTAACGTCAGACTTTTCAAGTAGGTATTGGTTTTTAACCTAGTTGAAGCTGATCTCCAAAATCTCCCACAATAGCCAAAAGTTGTGGTAGCAGCAACCATAGCAGTTCTGTTTCCCACACAGACGTAATGACGTAGAACATCTGCTTTCCTGTCAGCTTCTATTTTCTGGTTACTTGGCATCTCTGTCCTTTCCTTTAGATCATCCAAAAGTGCCTATGAAGGAACCAGCCGAATTTTTTCAAACACAGATCAAGAATGTGTTGACGCTAGATGGCAGTAACCCAGAGATGATGCAGCGTTACGCCAATGACTTTCTAAGGATGACTTTTCCTGGGCAAGATCTTTCTGTCTATGAGGTAAAAGGAATTTGGTGGCATACAGGCTTTAAATGGCAGTAGCTTGAGCCACAGAGCTACAGATATCTATGGTTCCAAGAACTGGCAAAAAAAAAGTAGCTTCTGATGTTCTGCACACTTCCCAATAACTGTTGGTGCTCAGTCTTAATTCCACCTTAAGGAAAGTTGGGGTTTTTGATGTAGAAGCTTGACTCAGCTGCTTCAGCAATTCCGAAAGCCATTCTCAGTCACCTGCTGTTTGTTTGGAGCAGAAATAACACCTTTTATTTTATCTGCAGATTCTGTCAAAAGCTCTCCTAGTCAATGCAAAACAGCTCTGCTCCTCTGTGGGGCAGGAGGAGATAAGCTTTTCCCCCATTTGGCTTCATATGGACTATTTCTACCTGCGAGAGGAGTATCAACTCTTTGTTGACTTGGTAAAAAGTGATGAGACTGTAACAAGTGAGCTGCAAAAAATGTACGAGAAGGACCCACCAGAAATGGTGAGCAAAAGGGAACAGCTGGTGTTTCACAGAGCAAAGTGGCACAGCCTGGTTCTAACAATGGTCACTATCAAATACTCAGTGCAAGTGTGTAAGAAAGGAGTGAAGACTTCGGGATATCTTTCCTTGGAAGCATTTTTCAGCTTCCTGTGAGTCTTAGGGAGTTTCTGAGCTAGGAGTCATATCCAGCTTATCCCCCGCCACAGGACCTATCCTTCATCCTCCTCTAACCACTTTTTAATTCCATTTATACTTTTCAGTCTTCAAAATTTCTGTAATTTAATCTGCACTGTGTAGAAAAATATTATACATCCTATTGCTTGTGTTATTCTGGGTATAATATTCATCTCTTCTTAGACACTCAGACCTTAAAGGTGAGGGTCATAGGATTTAATTTCTGGGATGGGGTCATTATCTGGATTCAGACACTGTAACTTACATGTCTACAGGGATGTGTCTATATTTGCAATGGTTGCTTGATCTCCTGTTGTTGCTAGTGAAAACATGGTATACAGAGATAGTGAAGAGTGACTCATGGCTGAAGTCACCTGGAGAGGTGCTGTTCAGTTGCCCACAAGTAGGCATCTACTTACATTTCAGATGCTGTTGGGCCTCCAGCTCCTGCTGCAGCAGGGCATGAATCTCCTGTAGGCCCTGTGCCCTGTCTGCCAGCTCTGTATAGATGTCTCAGACATCCAAAGGTGCTTTCACTGACAGCAGACACCTGGCAAATGGGCAACTGGATCCCACCTAAATATATAAGTCTTTCCAAAGAACAATTAATTCAGCAACCTTAAACATGTCTCTTTGAAATGGAAGAGCTGTTGTTTGGAGATACCTGTTTCTCCCTCTTGAATATCAAGGGGACTGAAGACAGCAATCTTAGAAGCTTAAAGCTGAAGGTTTCCCTGTAGAGGGGAACCATTGCTCTGGTTAAATTATTCAAACAGTATTCAAGACACAAGTGCAACACAGTTATACTATAGTACAATTATGGTTTTTGTACTGTTTTCAATTCCCTGCCTAATAAATTGCTACTCTGGTAGTTGTTGCTGTGTGCACTAAGCTAAGGTTTTCAGAGAATTCCGCATCAAGGCCTCCAAAGCTTTCTTTTCACCAAGGTGCAATAGGGTTTGGTCAGCTATAAAAGCTGTTTTTTTCTTCTCTCTTTTTAAAAATAATCTCAGTTTGTCACTCTTGACACCTTGAACATTCTCCTGAAGAAGGTGCAACCCACAGATGATCTTCAGTCTTTTGAGGCCTGTACAGAATGGCTTAGAAGAGTCAAATCCATTAAGCCCTGGATGGAGTGGATAAGTACAGACAATTACCAGATTCATCTTTACTACACGAAAAGGGAACTCCTGAGGAGTGTGTTGTAAGTCCAACTCTTCTCAACAGCCTTATCTTTGTTTTCAAGTGAAAGGTCCTCTTTCAGACAAACCAATTTTTTTTCCTTCAAATTGTTGGCATGTGTTCAATGAAAGAGTCTGCCAGATCTCACCAAAAGATTAGAAAACTAAAATGATTGAAGCTTAAAAATATAGTCTGTGGAGAAGGATTGCACATAGCCAACCCTTTTTCCCTGGAGTTCCTAAGCCGGTGCTTCAACAAATTGAAAGAAGTTAGACAAATACATGGAGCCTTATCTTGCATCTTCTATGAGCTAGATGTCTACACTGTGACCTTAGTCGTTTCCTTGGGAGACCATAGTAATTAGTTTGAGAAACCTGGTCCCTGAAACTGTTGGCTCCCTCCTAATCCTTTACTCATTTTTTTGTGTGATTAACCCCAAGGCGTTGGTAAAATCACTCCAAAAAGCTGTGTTAAAAACTACGCATTTTGATCATGATCAAGCACCCATCATTCCTTGAAAATAAGAACTGTTTTCCTGAATATCTGACTGCATGCTTGATCATACCCAGGATGTTTGCTGTAGTAGAGTAGGTATTTCTATAGACAAAACCCAGTAAAAATCCAATAACTCAGTTTGGTCTGGGGACGCTCCAACAAGTGAGGTAGACAGGACCATGCCATAATTTTCTCTCCTTGCTTAGTCTAGTCCTCCAAAGCTAGCCCAGGAGGTCTTGTGTCCTCAAATCATCTCACAGTACCTGGGACCTGTGATAGAAATCTTGGTTGGAAGAGATCTCGGAGGTCTGTAGGCCAGTCTCCCACTTAAAATTGCACCATTGCTAACAGTAGAGTAGGTCACCTGTGTCTTTCTCTGGCAAGTTTTGAAGCTTAGTTCAACATCTGTATATGTGTGTTTTCCAGACACCAGTGGACCTGCACCAACATTGTCTACATGTTCTTTGACCACCTGCTGCACAATGAGACAGAAGTAGATGAGAAGCTTCTGAGACTTCTTGTGAAGCAGTTCATCTTTATCTGGAAGGTATGAGCTCAGTGTAATGCTTGAGTGGACAATTTATAGCCTTGGAGACCAGTAGAGTTTGGAAGGAGCCTGATCTTCCAGGGATTCCTCTGATCCCAGCTTGAGGGAAGGCACAGAAACAGGAAGAGGATGGGAAGAGGACAGAAACCTCATCCAGTGCAAAAACCCACTGGTATTCCAGAATCATCATGAAAGCCCCCTAAAATCAGAATTTTATTTAAAGGAAGGTTTTCTTGAAAACATAATACATTTGAGGTCAATTTTCCCTGGCATGAGGAAAGGTACTTGGTGGGTCTGTTTGATTTGGTGTTTTGTTATGTAGTTCTGTGGTGCTGACATCTCCTCTTGTTCCTCTTTCATATGTCAAGAAGATATTTCCATTGAGCTTTCACCATCCTTTCTTTCCTACAGCGCCTGAGTGAAAAACAAAATATTGAGCCATCAGAAACTTTTGAGTCGGTGACAAAAGTGCTCAAGATATGCAACACAAATGCTGACAATGTGTACCTTGTGTAAGTCAAAGCCAAAAATAAACAAAACCAAACCAAAAAAAGCTGTTCAGGAGACATTTACACAAAAACTGGTTTTTGTAAGGACTGGGGTAAGATTGTCACTAGTCAATGGGAATGAATCTCCTCAGGCCACAGGATTCCTCCTGGAGACTCCTAGTGCCAGGGCATTTAATGCCCAACCTCAGAAGGCCATAGAGAAAAATCTTTCCCATGCAGTGTTCTACCTGGCTGGTGACAGACACAACCCTGGAACTGAATGTGGTGCAATTGATGTAGGTACTTACAGGCATAGTGAGACTGTGAATAAGGCCTGTCCCCCTCAACCAGCCACTCTTAGCATGATGGGCCACATCTCTTCGATGAGATGGTCCTTGGTGAAGCCACTTCCTTATTAAACTACCAGATGTTGCCCTTATTCTCTGCTCACCAGTAAGGCTAATTAAAAATGACCATCCAGTTTTGATGCCCATGGTAAACTTTAAGCGTGAGAATCCCATACACACCCTCAAGTCTGGCATCAGTGTAAAAACAGCCCTGAGTTGTGTCTTCCTGTGGTGGTATCTTTCAGGAAGGGTGTGAAGGACTGCAAGAGCTGTCTACTGGAGATCACTGACCCAGCAGAGCTGCCCTGTGGCCACATTTTCTGCTCACAGTGCATCCGTGAGTGGAGAAGCAAACAGTGTAAGATCTGCAAGGATAACTTCCCAGAGGATTACACACCTACAGCCAAAGCAGCCACAAGGTACCCTGTAACTAGTAAAACAACAAGTTTTGTTGTTTCAGTCTCTATCGTTTTGTATAAAACGCTGGAATAGTTACCAGAGCAGAAGCTACACAAATGTCATTAACATGTGAGCTCCATGGAAATCTCAGTATTTACCATATGCAGCAAACCCTTGGTGGTGAAAGGATTCATGTGATGTGATCTGGGGTCAATTCTAGCCCCTTTGCCTCTGTCTCAACAGGCAGTCTATCCAGGCATACACACTACGTGAGAATCCATTTTTCTTTGTTCTCTAGCTATCTCGAGCGGAGATAGGAGAGAGGGAGAGTACAGGGGAAGAAGAAATTTTGTCCTCCATATTCAAGAAAAAATGCTGTAGTGGGTGGTTTTTCGGGGGGTTAATTCCCCTCTCTATTTAAAAAGTGTATTTCTTCTCCACAGTCTAGATATACCTGGTCTCCTGCTCACATTCAGAGAGGCAGAAAAGAGAATTTGTTTCTGTGCTTTGTTGCGTTTTGATGGTAGATCTTGATTTTACTCCTCCCTACAGGGAAGCTGTTGCATGTCACAACAAATTCAGGAGGAAATGTAACTCCTTCTTTGTGGAGTTTGTCACCACCTCAGTCTTGGGAGACAGAGGCACACCATCCCCAGAAGTCATCACTCAACTGATCCAGTTTGTGGCCTGCAAGCCATCCAGCCCTGAGCACCAGACAGTAAAAAAGGGTAAGAGCCTGACTTCACTGGGACCCTGACCTGATCTTGTGCTGAAGAAAAATAATGAATGTCATCCTTTATTTTTAGTGTGCAAGTCAAAAAGTGAGCTGTCGCCCTTTGAAGAATGCATGGACACCAGTCCAACAATCAAGTCCTTCCTCTTGAAGCTGCTCCTGCGACATGGGTTAGCATGAGCTACCTCCCAGACTGGTCACTGAGCCACACGGGCTACATGGATGCTCACATCCTATGTCTTTTTTTCTCATAGGTTCAACAACATAAAGATTCACCTGGAAAAATATCTTTCTGAGATGGAGGAAAAGATATCCTTCAACAAAAAGAACTGGAACCATTTCTACTTCATGGTGGTGCATTGTTTGGAGGTAAGTGCATATATGCTTGACATGTTTCTTGAATCCATGCTCAAACTACCATTGTTTCCTGTCCTGCCCTTTGCATACCACATTTTTCCTCTCTTTCCCCCCGCTGGATCCTGCAACTGTCTGGAACAAACTGCTGACCTCCCTTGCTTATGTGCCTAAACACATAGTCTGGAAGAACCCAGGCCTGAGTTAGTAAGGTCCAATGTACAGTCTGAATTCTGGAGCTCCTGGAGTCCAGAGGTGGCCATGGCCTGATTTGTAAGCCGCAAGAGCCTGCCTTGACCACAGCTGACACTCTGAGCAGAACTGCCCCTGCTCTGCTTTGTTTTGAGCTGGTGCACTACAGATATACACAAGCACATCTGTTCAACATGTGATTCTCCACCAAGTGAATCAAGAAGGCAGGCAGTCCTGCCAGAAAAGCAGAGTTGGTGCTACTCTCAAAGACAATGAGAAACAGTCCACCTGCAAAGCAGGTTGTTGCTGGGGATTTGAGATTGACAGGGTACAACATCACAGCAAAAATGAGTTCTGCATCTCATGAAAAGGCTTAGGAGAGAAGAAGGGACTACCCAGAACTCATAGCAGCTTTAGACTCTTAACGTTTCCTCTCTCTTTTTCTGTTAAACAGGATTTTATGCATCCTTCTTCCCAAGACGATATCAACCAGTTTGCTGAAAGCTGCCTCTCTACTGCAGACCTTTCTGCTTTTGGTTCACTCAAGACCTCAAAAATTGACATCCTCCAGTTCATAGCCCGCCTCCGGTTCTCCATCAGCCACGTGGCCACTGTGCTTGGCAGACAGGTGCTCGGTGGTGAGTCCTTCTGCTAGGAGCAGAGAGCATGAGAATTGTGTTTTCTCATAAACAGGTTTAGGACAAGCCGAACATTTGCTAGTATAGGAGGTTTCTTGGGGTGGGGAGAAAGGAAAAAGAAGAGAAAAACAGGCAGTTTTGTCTAAATTTAAGGGGTTTAATAGACAAATTTTCAAGAGGTGATTCAGAATTAGAAAGGCTAATTTATTTCTTTTAAATCTAGATCATTTTTTAACCCTCTTGTTCTGATACTATAAAACTATTTTTTGGCACGATTGAAGCTGAATGGAGTTAAAGTTGGTAAGTTTTGTATATAAACGGGTTGTATCGAAAGGTGTGTATGTTGCACCCAAAATGTATATATTACCTAGAACTTGCTCTGAAACCATTTTTATTTTTCTGGATTACTTTCCCAGTAAATACTGGGAAAATACTGCCATTTCCCCCAAAGTTCTCCATACCTAAGGGGTTGTGTCCAGCAGTATATCACAGTAATCATTTAGGTGTCTACAGGCAGGTGCATGTGCTGGGACTCTGTCCTCCCATTAGCCTGTTGCAAATAACAGGCAGAGTCAATAGAGTTCACAATGAACACATGTGCGTTTCTTGGTTTAGAAGCAGATGTATTGCACCTTAAGCTCTGTTGACTCACTTCCTTCCGTCTTTGTCAGCTTTGAAGCTGTCCAAGTCTGAGTAAAGAGACTGATACAATCTTACTGGAGGTAACTGGAGGGCACAATCTTACCTCAACTAACAAATGGAGGTACAGGTCGAGATGTAAAACAGGCCAGAGGATTCCCACTTCTCTCAGCTACCTAGAAGAGAGCCATGAGATTTCTCCCTGCCTTCTGGACAGCCCTTGAGAGCTTTCCTCTCTGACCTAAGACAGATGCTAGAGAAGAATACCTAATCAAGATCCTATATGGGGCAAAAATGGAAAAACAGTGGACCATTCAGTCCCCATATTCACTACCTAGTATTCTACTTCCTTGCATACTGTAGGTATTAAGAAGCCCAGGATACTATGGTTGCAGGCCATATTCCTAATCTTGGGGGAAAAGTGTTGTTGTAGCCTAAGCAGGTGGTGTGCTTGTAAAAAGGATCTATGTAATATGACTGCATGGGAGTGAGCCTAATGAGAAATCTCACTGGTAACTGCAGATCCAAGCGTACCATCTCCTGGTGGGAACAAGCAAGAAGAGCAAGACCTGGTGAATGCAATGAAGAAGCTAGTGGAAAATGCAGAGACACCATGGCCTCAAGTATTCCTCATTAGAAATCTCTATAACAACTACGGGTTCATCTCAATGCAGAAGATTCTTCAAACAGAAAAATGGATTTTACCCAGAGGGGTTGAAATTTCACAGGTGGGTATCTTCCAAAAGCCCATCTACAGGTCACTGAAGACGTGCCACCCAAGCACTCAGGCTTTTCTTTGCAGACAGCTCTGAGGGTGTACAGCTGATTGACTTCTTCCCCGTCTGGTGAAATACACTTGTATTGTATCCTGTGTAGTTGATGGGATAGGAATCACTCAACTTCATTCATGAAAAATCACTTCTTGGGGGGATCTCTTCCAGTCTGCAGAGAGATATAATCTCCTCTACAGAACAATTCATCCCTCCTTCATACCTGCTTAGCACATGATTGTTCTCCTGGAGAGAGCTATTTGTGTATTTGTAAGATTGCAGAAATGGAACAGTTGCACAGTAAAATTCAAGCAGAATAGATTTCAGACCCCATATCTCTACAGCATCCCAAGCTTTCCCCAATGATACAAATTTGAAAAAATAGAAAAACAGTTTGTAATATTTGCAAAACACAAAAATAATGTGATCATTTGTGAGGGGTCCATCTGAATGGTTTAGTGGGCTTGAGAGAGCCTTCTACATACTGGTGGTATCTTCATTATGACAACATAACTTACATCTGTATTTCACAGCATATGGGTGCCTGGTCAAATATAACACTGATGACTTCAGTGCTGGATAGAGCACAAAATCAAATAAAAAACAAAAATCCCCAGGAAGTCCAGAGACTTATGGTGAGTATCCGTTGATTTCTATGGGGTGTTTGTGGAACACTAAAGGAATTTCCTCCTGAGTTGGAGACAAAAAGATCATCACATTCATATAAAACACCACTTTTGAAGCCTAACAGCGAGCATCTCATCAAGAGGTGCCTTATGGGCCTCCTTAGATTTAATCTGGTTTGTTTGATTTCTTTTCTAGCCTGTCATAAAACAAATGGAAAACATCCTCCAAATACCACCGCTCTCAGAAGAGCTTCTGGAAAACAAGATTAATAAGATGGTGGCTGCTCTGCAGAGACAAAAAAACAAGGTGTTGATGGAGGTGCTGTTTCACACTGCATTTACTCTGGCCATATCCCGAAGTCCCTTCACTGAACTTTTCAGAAATATCTGCTTTAAGCCTCATGTGATGAAGGTAAGTATGATGTATGGATACAGATACTTCCCCTCATGATAACAGTGTCAGGGGAGGATCTGCCTTTACACATCCAGCTCTGTCAGCTTACAGCTGGATTTGGTTCAGGCCTATTTGCAGCTTTCTGGGTTGTTGCAAACTCCGTATGCAGCCTTCTAGTTTTTCCTCTCCCTATTGGACAGTCCACTGAGAGCAAACTGAGACTGTCCACCACTATCTGTATTGAAGGTGGCAGGGACAGGCTACCGGAGATGCCCATCTCTCTCCAGTGAGCCTAAGGGAGCCTGGGGACCTGCCAAACAGTAGTTGTTGACTAAGTTTATATTACTCAAATCCTAGCCCAAGCTTCTTCATTCTGACCACAAATATACTAGCTGTCAGGTAAAGGCAAACTTTTTACTAGACTAGGCCCCCCTTTGCATCTAATGATGCATAGATTGTTCCTGTTATTTGAGGAGTGCAAAAAGCAATCCAGGTGTGCATTGCCTGTCTCTTGGCTGTGAATACAATGGCAGTGTCCAGATAGGGCCATGAAAATGATCAGAGGGCTGGAGCATCTCTCCTATGAAGACGGGCTGAGAGAGTTAGGATTGTTCAGCCTGGAGAAGAGAAGGCTCCAGGGACATCTTATAGCAGCCTTCCAGTACCTGAAGGGGGCCTACAGGAGAGATGGGGAGGGACTCCTCGTCAGGGAGTGTAGCAATAGGATGAGGGGTGAAGGTTTTAAACTGAAAGAGGGGAGATTTCGATGAGATATTAGGAAGAAATTCTTTCCTGTGAGGGTGGTGAGACACTGGAACAGGTTGCCCAGAGAAGTTGTGGATGCCCCATCCCTGGAGGTGTTCAAGGCCAGGCTGGATGGGGCTTTGAGCAACGTGGTCTGGTGGGAGGTGTCCCTGCCCACAGCAGATGGGTTGGAACTCAGTGATCTTTAAAGTCCCTTCCAACACTTCTATTATTCTATGATCCCACTCCTTCCCTCTGAATCCTTAATTTGATAGGCAGATACCAAAGAAGTGATGAAGATGCTAACTTGGGTATCACTGTTCCTGTAAGCCCAGCCATCCCAAGTGTATCCCCCATTGACATAATGCTATGTACCTTGGTCTATGTCTTAGTTAAGCTTTTTCTTGCATCCATTTATTCCCAGAACTGCTATTTCTCCAGTACATGAGAAGCAAACTTGGAAAATGGTTATGATTCCTCAAATCCTTTTTTACATCTATATTTCCTTTCTAAGGGGTCCTACCTTCCCACCATGCCTGGAGACCTTTTTGATGAGAAGAACTGGAAAGTTGGTCCATATGATAAACTATGGAGTAAGTGCTGGGGAAATTTTACGTCAGTACAGCCCACCTGCTCCTATATGGTTGGCAGACATGGGGAATATACTAGAAATGTGCCCTGAGACAGCCTGGCATGGGGATGGAGGAAAAGGAGGAACAGGTGGATGGAGGGAAGAGTGGATTTCTTTAAAGATACCTCTGTGCTTCTGTTGTGTACTTTACTGATCTCCTTTTGGCTGCAGCAACTCCAGGTCCATTTATGGCAAACTCTATGAGAACCATATTGTGAGACCAGATCCCAGTAGATGGGAAGAAGGTCTTACTTGGGAAGGGCCTGGGCTGTTGCAGTCCCAGTGAATTTCTGGCCATGCTTACAACATGGAGGATATTGTAATTGGGAGACAATTGACTGATTAATTTAATTCCCTTTCATACACAGCTTGTCAGTGTGGATCATACTGGGTCATCACCAATGTAAGTGTCTTTTGGCTTTTTGTGATGCTAAGGGTCTTCTGTCTGCTGTTAAATTTTCTGCCCTACATCTTATGCTGCTATCATCTTTTTACCTACAGTGTGGGCGTCCCTACGAAGTCAAACAACGCCTATGTGGTGCTAAAGTTGGAGGAATTAATCACAAACCTGAGAGAGGTTTTGAGATGAAGAACATGTAAGTTGATGCTCCCTGCCCTACAGCCCAAGAGAGATGAACAGGGCTGTGGCCACTTGATCCTCTCTCCATTCTCTGGGCACAGGGAAAACACTGTATCTGGGCAAAGCAAGGTCGTTGTGACCCAGGGTCCAATCACAGGAGGAAAACTTGGAAACATAGAACTGGGGGAAGAGAGAGGAGAGAAAGCATAAGTGGCATAAAACAGCTGGAAAGGGCATTTCTTCAGCAGCAGTTCTTCCCTTCCAAAAAGTTCCATGTTACCCCAAGTTCATATTTGTTCTTACCTAGTCACGGCCAAGCCTCTGACAACATTAACTTCCATGAGATGATTCCAGCTATTGAGAGTATAAACTGAATTATGTTTCCTTATCACAGCACAGAGGATGAAACGGGAAGAGGATACATCCTTGGGAGCCCTTTGAAAAGGAGAATTGAATTGGAAAGGGACCTGTCACCTGCCTCTGTCTGTCTTGCAAGAGCTCTCCTGCATTCATCCATGCTGCTGGGGATTTGTACAGATAAACAGGTGAGACAGCCTCTGCTTCTTCTCTCTCCCTTACCTCTGTCTGTCTGTCCACCTCACTTAGCCTGCAGCTCCCACATGATGGATAGCTTCTGCTCCACTCTGGGAGGAAGCTTTCTTGAGAGATAAGTTAAGAAAACACCCTGTCTTCTAGGCGACTCTGAGTCTGATGACAAAGAAGCCAAAAGATGCTGCCAAATTCTTCTGGGACCACCTTGAAAAAGATATTGAATGTCTGGCAGAGGCACTTAGCAGAAACACAGAGGATGCCACAGTGACTGTCCATCTGTTTCTTCAGCACTTAAGCAACAGTACAACAGGTAAAAGTACATTCCACACATTGGGAGAGTACCAACAGGCTTACATCAGGTTGGTTTTCACATGGCCACTGGAACTGGTGGTCCTTATCTCATGACTGCAGCTGTTCTGCACAGACTTGAGTGCCTACTGGCAGAAGGACCTTATTTTGCTTTGCATTTCCTACAGGAAAAAACATGGCCCCGGACATTTTGCCTAGGCAAGAAGACCGAAGGCAGTGGGAAACTTGCTTTAAAACTCTGACTCAGCCCTTCTTCCAGGTATGCAAGGGACCGATCATCATGTTTCCATATACAAACTACCACTCTTCTAGGGATCAAGTGCAAAGCCCATATGGGCTCTGATGAATACCCAGGCACATCCAGTCAGCTGGCACATTCCCACATGCAATAAACAGGTTTATCACCTCTTTTTTAAAATGCTTTTTATTTGCTGTTTAAAATCTCCTTCAGAAAAAAAAAATTGCTCTGTGTCTTGGAGGGCAAGAAAGTTCCCTTTGGTTACTTCATGGGCAATTTTGTTCTCATCTCAGCCTCGTTTTTTAACAGGAAGTTTTTACCATCTCTTCCTCTTCTTCAGAGCCACTATTGTCTTCTCTCATGAGACTTTTAAGAACTCCAAACCCTTTTGTAACAAAAAGCAACTCCTAACAAACCTTCAAATTCCACAGGCCTTGGAACAGAGCCTTAATTCTGTCAAGCTGGAGAGGATGAGAGATCCTGAGGGCTCCAACCTGCTCCTACAAATAGCTTATGGCCAGGTGACTCCTTTCAAAGACCAGCTAAACCTTGGACTGATTGGCCTGTCCTGCATGTGGAAATTTGAACAGAAAATGTCCATTCAGACCCTGATGCATCTTCTTCAGCAAGAACACAGAGAAGGCAAAGGAAACCGCTACCCTGTTCTTCTGGAGCTTGTGTCTCAGGTTTGCTGTGGAAACATTCCTCCTCCTTCAAAGCAGAGACAGGCACCCCATAGATTCACCATTGTTGGTGTCAGTGTGGCACAAAGTTGACTTGTTTCCCTGTGTTTCCCAGTACAGTGCCCTTCTCCTGAATATCACACAATGCCAGACACAATCCTGGTTCCTCAGGTAAGTGCGTGGATAGCAAAGTCATGCTGAATTTTCCCTTTCAGCTCCAAAACATCCAGCATGTCCAACATCTGCCTGACATATTCAGTCTGCAGAAAGCCCTGATCCACTTCTTCCAGAACAGCCATGGAGGGGAAATATACTCAATACAACAGTTCCTAGACCAACATGACCTTTCAGGTATGACATGGACTTACTGAAATCCCAGTAAGCTGGTCTCTACTGGTCCTCAACTCCCACATGCTCTGCTCTGATGTTGCAGCAGGACCTGTGTTTTCTGTTGCAAGCTGTGAGGGAGCAGCAAACACAAGACTGCTCTGTGAGGGAAGATGAGCCAGGAGCTAAAGGTGACCATAGCACAGACCTGGCAGCGACCAGGGTGCAGTCCCACAGTATTGGGGCAAGGCCAGGGTAGCGATAAAGCCAGGTTCTGTCAACAGCTCAGTGATCATAATACAGGACAAGGTAATAAGTCCACGAAGAGTCTAGGAAGTTCAGACAATATGTTGCAAAAGCAGGAGACAGGGATCCTGCTTACAACTCAGGCATGGGCCTGAGCTTGTATGTGCCTCCTGGGCCCGTGAGGAAAGGGTGAGATGGAGTCCAAAGGCCAGGCTGCTTAGGGCTATTAAGGCCTATTAGTGCCCTCAGGGCCCTCCCACAAGCTCATGGTGGTGACTCTCAGTCATCTCCATCTTCATGGCCATCTTTGGGGTTTGGAGGAGAGGGCAGAGATCTCTGAAACATTGGAATGGGTATTGGGCAGATTGCCTCCCATGCTCAGAGTAGGACTTGAAAAACTTGTAGAGATTTTTCCTGCTGTTTCATGAATGGATGGGCAACATACAGGAAACAGGTTTTTACGATCGTAAGCAGGTGTATTAGCATGGTGCACGTGAGCTGGGATCCAGCACCCCTTAATGCCAGATATGGCATAATATGGGCTAGAAAAAAAAAAACCTCTGGTTAAGCTTGGAACCACAGCAGTGAAAGGCAACCAAGGCCCAGCCTAACAGTTTACTGAGCAGTTGTACACCATAAGCTATATCTTTCAAGGAGACAAAAATAAATCTTTTTCAACTGCTTTCTCTTGGGAGCATATACTGACATTGCTGCTTTTCTTCCCTTCTCTCTGTGCCTGAAGAGGAACAGCGTTCAGCTTTCTGCCAAGCTATAGGGACCATCCAGAAAGTCTGGCGCAATATCAGAGACAAACCACAGTGTTCAGGTATTTTGACTTCCCAGGTACTGTTACTTCCCTTTCCTAAGCCACTGATGAAGGCTGGAAGCCATGCCAATTGCTGACCTTCCTTTGTTTTGACCTTCTAGCTGAAAATAAATTAAAAACCCTTCTAAAAACACAAAACAAATAAAAAATAAACCTCCAAAAAGATTTTAATGAAAGCTAGCCCGAGTTTTCCCCATGAGAGAATTCTTCCTACCACCACATAAGGCAGAAAAGAAATCTTCCATTTTATTACAGATGTCAGAGTCCCCTGGGACCAGTTGCCAAAGGACATCAATGCTAACACTGCTGTCCTGAAACTCCTCCCAACTCCACTGTCTATCGGTTACCTTGTGACGAGGCTCCTCATACAGCTCCAGAACAGTTGTGTGGACGCAGCTACACAGATCACAAAGGAAAAGCAACGGTACGTTTCAAACCATCTCTCTGGAGCAAATCAGGACTTGTCTAGAGCTGTGTGTGTCACTGATTGCAAAGTAGAATGAGGTAAGAAGTAAGGTGCTATCCTTAACAGCAAAAGGTAACTTCTTCTCTCCCAGAATCATCTCTGCAGCAGAAGTTAAACCATCTTCAGTGCTGAAGATAACTGAGAATGATCTGATTACTGCAATGCTGGCCAACTCCCAATATGTGATAGAGGAAGATGACACCAAGACAACCCATTTTGATTTCCAGACGCTGCAGCGGCAAGTGATCCAACGTTTTATCAGTGGGAAACCCACCATCAAACCTCAGGTGAGCTTAGTACAATGGACATTCAGCCCAAGCCAAGTTGCAGTGCTTCGGGCCAGCAAAGGGTGTAGGATTTTCTTTGCAGCACCTGGTACTCACCTCTCCAGAGCTGGAGCAAACACACATGAAGGTGCTTGTGCATTTGGCAGTCCACCACTGCATTCCTTGGACTGTAACAGTTGTGTGGTCAAAAACCACACTGTGCTCAGCAAACCTTGGTGTTGTAAAAGGCAAAAAGCTTGCAGGGGAGCTTGGCCTGGATTTTCTTATGACCAAGGAGGAGTCAGACGCCATCTAAAAAGACTCAAGAGAGTTGACTTCCTGGGCATAGTATAGGACTGGACTCTAATGTGAGTCTCTGAACCATGTTGGAGAAGCTGGTCTTCTCCTGTGGTATTCATCTTCACTTACGCACATTATCCTTTGGCTTTCCTCCAGAAGCTCTCAGGGGACCAGATTTGCAAATGGTTATTCTCATCTGAAAAGGCAGGCCAGAGGTATGTACCTCAAAGATTAAGTCTTGCAGGACAGCAATGAATTTAGGTCTTCAGCCCCTTTAAAACTTCCTATAACCCTCAGGTGGTTACATAAACTTCGCCTGTGGTTCTCCTATGACTGTTCATTGCCCCAGTTATTTCCTTCAGAGGAAGGGCCGACTGGGTGTTTGAATTTGTGAGATGTGAAAATCTGGCCACAAGGGAGTGGGAAAATGAGGTTTAAGGGTATTATAACATGGCTGTCACATAGTTATTCAGGTCCACATGCTTGTCCAGTAATAGAGGAGGATAAGCAGAGAAACACACAGTCACAGAGAAACTGAAAGAGTTTGGCTAGAAGGACCTCTGGATGTTTCTGGTGCAACTGTTTCCTCCAAGTAATGAGAGTAATCCAAGAGGAGTAACTTCAAAGCAAGACCAGATTGCTCAGGGTGTTGTGCAGTTGAATTCTGGAAATCTTCAAAGATAGAGTTTCACTAGCTCTTTGACCCTCTGTTGTGCTGTTTTAACACCCTCACCATGAAAATGTTTTCTGCATGCTTAAGTAGGAGATCTGTGGTTGCCCCTTGTCCTTATTGCCTTCACTGTGATCCCCCTTTTGGTAGTGGACAAGCAATTAGATTCTCTCCACAGAGTTCTCTTCTACAGGGTGAACAGTCCCCTGCATCCTGTTCTGCAGCCCCTCAGTCATCCTGTTAGTCTCTGCTGGGCTCACTTCAATTCATCAATGTCTCTTGTACTGAGGAACCACAAATTGGTTCTCAAATTTAATCCCATAAAAGCTGAATAGATGGAAAGAATCACTTCCCTCATCCTTCTGGCTATACTCCTGCTAACACAGCCTGGAATGCATGTGGCCTTTTTCACCATAAGAGCACACTGCTGACTTACATTCAACTTGTCCACCAGGACACACAGGTCTTTTCTGCAAAGCCGCTTCAGAGCTGTTTTGCTCTCAGCCTATGCCGTTTCATAGGATTGTTCCATCCCTGATGCAGGATTTGGCATTTGCCTTTTTTGGACTTCATGAGGTTCCTGTTGGCCCATATGTTCTGCTCGTTGAGACCTCCTCTGAATGGCAGCCATGCTTTGCAACATATCAACTCCTTTTCCCAATTTGGTATCATCAACAAACCTGCTGAGATGTCATGTCAGGTGGTACTGAAGGTCCCTCAGCACTATTGGATGCATTCCATCTGGTCCCATGGACCTGTGTATATCCAGCCGTACTAGGTCTGGCCGAGATGGAGTTAATTTTCATCATAGCAGTTCGTATGGTGCTGTGTTTTAGATTTGAGACCAAACCAGTGCTGATAACACAGTAATGTTTCGGCTATTGCTGAGCAGTGTTTGCACAGCATCAAAGGCCTTCTCCACTTCTCGTCCTGCTCACCTGCAGTGAGTAGATTGGAGATATGCATGAGGTTGAGAGGCGACCCAGCCAGGCAGATGACCCAAACTAACCGAAGAGGTGTAACATCATGCTCAGCAACAAGACAGGGTTTTAGGGAGGTTAGCCATCATTTGCTCAGGAAGTGGCTTAGCATTGGTTTACGCATGGGAGGCGGTGAGTGATTGCCTTAGCAGCACTTGTTTTGTTTTGTTCTCACTTTTATTCTTCCTTTCCTCTTTTGCCATCCCACTGGGGGTAAGGAGGGGAAGTGAGTGAGCAGCTCTGTGGTCCATAGCTGCCACAACAGTAACTTATCTCAGCAGTCCCTAGTTTGGTCCTATTCTTATTGTGACATGCCTTTAAACTTTGCCAGTAAACACAAGGACTGAAAGCAGACATTTGCAGTAAAAAGTGAGGCAAAGAAAGCACTGAGTATCTCAATGAGTACCTTTTCCATGTCCTTTGTCAGTAGGTCCCCTTCCCTGTTGAGCAGTGGGCCCACTTTTTATCTGGTCTTCCTTTTGCTACTGATGGACTGATGTCGAAGCTTTTCTTGTTGGCCTTCACATCCCCCTCAGCAGTTTCAGCTCCGGATGAGCTTTGTCTTTTTTAACTCCATCCTTGCATGCACAAGCAATGTCTCTATATGCTACCAGGGTAGCCCTTTCTTGCCTCCACCTCTCCTGTACCTCCTATACCAGGCTGTCATAGCCACTGGCCCCACAGCCAGCATGTGGGTAGCTGTGTCCTACTGCATGGTCATGGGTTTCCCCTTTGGCCTGTGCCAAGTAATACTTTGTGTCTTCATAGCCACCCTTTGCTTTCCAGACTGCTCCATCCTTTGAACTGAACAGCATGAAGACCCTGCAGGAGACAAAAGCAAAAGTGAGAGAACAGCTGCAACAGGTATGAAAACAGCTTACCACCCTTTTTTTTCCAGCCAAGCTTTCTTCTTCCTAGTAATGCTTATCAATAAGCCACCCCAGTGGACAGGGTGCTCAACGGAGAATACAAGACCTGCAGGATGTGTAGAAAGGTCCAAGTTCAAATCAGGCAGGTGGCTGGAGCCTCACAAAGAGCCAATTTTCTTTGCTGGCTCTAAAGAGAATCGAGGTAACTCACTCAGATGGACCCAACTATAGAGGTGTGAAAACCAAGGAGATGTGGTGACTGCACTGGCAATTGTAGGATTATTTTTACTGCTTGCAACTAGGCTGGGGAACCCATGTCCTTGTAGAGTCTGTGTCTTTCCCATGTAAACCACGGATGTCACCCAGGTATCTCTTAGCCACCCCTCTGATAAGAGAGCAGAACTGGCTCCAAAGGTTATACAGTCACTTTGCTGTACAGACACACTTGCAGGACCCAGACCTCATGTGTCAGTCACAATCTGGTTATATTTCTCCTATTGATAGGAATCACTAAGTGTGAACCAGCTGAAACGGATCATGGAAGAAGCCCACTCAGTGAATGCCATTTCCCAAACTCTAGCCACCTTGAAAGTGGCTGCTGAGTTTCTGGCCGTGACTGGTGGGGACCCAGAGTGCCAGTTGTCTGACTATGTGAAAAACAAGCTGAAGATGGATGCAAGTGTGGAACAGTTCAAAGATATGCCGGTAAGCAAGGTGCTCTGCTTGTACTGAATGGGAAATGGGCTGAACATTTTCATCCTTCATACCCCCCCTAAGGATTAAGACATCACCTTTAAGTCACGTGCTTTTTTTGTGACCTAACTCAGAACATGGCAAACTCAGCCATGGCCTTTCTAAAGAGCAAGAACTGGCTGACTTATTGCCCATCTGTTTTCTCCTCCTCCAGGTGGTACCAAACACTCAGCTGAAGCACATCCTGTCTCTGTGGCAGACATTGTCAGCAAAGAGATCTGTGCTGCTGGTGCAGATGAATCAGGTATGGGAGACTGCCCAGTTCACAAAACTGTCTACAAGATCTAGGGGAAAAGAGAAACTTTTTGACAAAGTTGATTTTCTGTGGAAAATTTTGGAAATTTTTAGGAAAAAAATAAGGTATTTTTGAAATTTTAATCTTACCATTCAGCAAGAGACAAGCAAGTCTACTGCAGTCATGTAAGACCCTTGGAAAAGGACCATCCACAAGATGTTCTACTAGAAGCAGTGGTGCTTTCTGGCATGGGTCACATCAGCATCTGCTGCTGTGGTCTCTGGAGGGTCCCAGTTCTACCACTTCCATCACATGTAGCCCTCAGGTGGTCTTTCTGGAGAGTCCCAGGCCATCCTCTTGCTGATGTTGTTTGTCATTGCAGAATCCCTTCTGCCTGGTTTCTGAGAATTACCACAAGGAGTTGAGTGCAGAGGAGAAGAAGGTTCTGACTACTGCACTTTCCACAGTTAACCTGGACTTGTTCCTCATTGAGCTTCATGAGATGATCATTGTGCCTCTGGATAGCTTTGATCCACAGTGGGGGTAAGAGCAGATTTTTCCTGGTTTGTTCCAGGGATAGATACCATCTCCATAGACCCAGATGGAAGGGGTCTTGAATTCCCTTTTAAAGCTGGCTCTTGAAGCTTGCTGAAGAGCATGGCCATGCTTTCCAAAAGTGGGAAATGCATGTGATGAGCATCAACTCTCACTGTGTTGTAAAAAGCAGTGGAAGTAAAATACAGCAGAAACCCCAGCACCTTCAGTTCATCTGACATCTCATGGGGAAACAAGAGAACCACTAAAAATCATACCATCATGGAGACATAGGTTGGGAGGGCCCTCTGGAAGTCTCTAGTCCACCCCTTTTGTTCAAGCAGGTCTGACTTCAAAGCTAGAGTTGTGTTCTGACTGTCTCCAAAGATAATGCCACCACCACTCTGCATTGTGGGTGCATCATCTGTTTGGAGAACTTTTTTTTTCTTTATGTTTATTCAGGATTTCCACTACTGCGTCTTGTGCTTTTTAATTCTTGTCTTTTCACTGGGGACTCCAAGAAGATTCTGGCTTCATCTTCTTGACATGCTCCTACTGCATAGTTAAAGATGTATTTCGAGTTCCCCTTTGCCTTCTCAGCTGAAGGCTGAATAACCCAGTTCTCTACCTTCTCTTCATATGTCCTGTGCTCTAGATCCCTAATCATACTGGTTGCACTCCACTGAACTCACTCTAGGAGGTTAATGTTTTTCTTGTACTGGGAACACAAAATTGGACACAATTCTCCAGATGTGATTTCACAAGTGCCAACAGAGGAGAAAAATCACCAGCTGGCTACATTCTTGTTAATACAGTTTAGTATGTGTCTTGGGAAAAAAAAAAAAATAATAATAATAAAAGAATCATGTAGGAGAAACAAAAAGATGCTCCCTAAACAGCACATTGAGAAACCCCATAATGAGGATATGGCAACACTGCCTCCCTTTCCCTATTACTTGCATGAGAAAGGTCTCCTAATGCCACAGGGACATCATGGCAGAGCCCATGAAGAAGGGAGCTGGGGATGTATCAAATTGCATACAGGTTTCAGCATGCTGTGTTATACCTGAGATGGAAGAGGCAGTCACTGAAGGTGAGAGAGCTCAGCTTTAAGTCCACAACCTCTATTTGGGTGCTCTTGACAGTGTTGACCAACAGTTGCCCACATTGTTGTCTGACACCACCAGAGATAATCCAGAGAATACTGCCTGTCTTCTAGCTGCAAGGCTGTCTCAGGAGTAACACAGCGGAGTGTCTTTGACTGCCTGCATTGCCTGTTGAAGGTCAGGGCATTTGGAAACAGTCCTCCAGACACTTAAAATTATGATCTGTCTCACCCACAGGCTAAAGGACACTTTCAGAACCTTCCTGGAAGACAGGCAAGATGATGCCTGCATTGCAAACCTGACGGGCACTTTGAGTCCAGATCTACTACTGAAGGATGTTGTTTCCGTCTGGAAGACAGCTGTGAGGACCAGCAAACTTCATAGCCCTACTTACGTCCAGGAGAGACCAACCTAACTTTTGCTAAGTCCCCCAGGAATTAACTCACCCGCAGCTTCTCCAACCCAGTTTTCAGTGCCCCAAATGCATTAACTGTCCTAAGTGACTGCACCCAGGATTTCCACCCATGCACCCACTGTCCACTGGTCCAGGAGCTCCACTTAAGCTCAGCCCTGGGCCTTCTTGAGCTGTGTTGTAGGTGCATCAGTGTCCCGCCCTGACAATCCTGATTTGCTCACTAGTCTTCCTGCACTGACCTTGGACCTGTCTCCACCTCACCTTGTTGATGATCACTGAGCAGTCAGTAGAACCTGGCTCAGCCCAGGTTCTGTGGGACTGTGCCTGGTCAGTGGAGACACTGTCCTTCATTTCCTGGGGTCAACCTCTGCTTCCAGATCTTTTTCCTGTCTAGAACAACTCCACGCCTGCTGCTCCCTAGCAAAAGTCTCCCCACCAACCATTCAGTTTTTTGCCATTGAAGTTTCAATTTATTGCATCTAAGTTTCAACTGGAAAGGGGGAGTGAAAGGGAACCCCATTTTAATGCTTAGTACTGTATTTGTGCTTTTTTCCTAATAGCTGCAATGGCATATTCAAGGCACCAAAAGCAATGTAAGCAAAAATACACCTAGAAATAAACGCAAAAGCAAGAAACATAGAGCAGCTGCGGCGCTCAGCATGGCTCAGCAGTGGCACTTCCACAATAAAGATACGCTTTCCAATTGCAGTGAAGACCCATTTATACCCTATCTGGGAACTCCGCACCTTGAGAGAAATGGTAAGTCACCTCTTCAGCTGGCCTGGATCAGGTCTTCAGTTTTGCTCATCCTGACCTAGAAGTACATGCTGTACTTCCTTATTGGTCCCAACTTTGGTTTCTTTGGTATCCCCAAAATCAATCCCAGTTCCCAAGACTGAATTTCTCTGGTGACGAGTGATTGACAATCAGTGAGCAGTTAATAGCTCTGGAGCTTCGAATATCATTTTGTGGCTGTGTTTTCAAGGTCTCTGATCTTATCCCATGCCTGTAGTCCTCTTTGCATTTCTATTCTAGGGTCATACATACTTTATTCTGCATATAGTAACTTTTTGTTAGTAGTGTTAGTCACTATATATATGTGTGTCTGTGTGTGTATATACAAAAATATAGATGTGTACATACGTATGGGTACATATGTAGAATCATAGAATCATAGAATCATAGAATTTCCCAGGCCGGAAGGGACCTCCAAGGGTCATCTAGTCCGACCTCCCCACAGTCAGCAGGGACACCCCCAACTAGACCAGGTTGCCCAGGGCCTCGTCGAGCCTCACCTTGAATATCTCCAGGGATGGGGCCTCAACCACCTCCCTGGGCAACCTGTTCCAGTGCTCCACTACCCTCACAGTAAAGAACCCCCTTCTAATCTCCAATCTAAATCTGTTCCCCTCCAGCTTGAAGCCATTTCCCCTCGTCCTGTCACTACAGGCCTTTCTAAACAGGCTCTCCCCAGCCTTCCTGTAGGCTCCCTTCAGGTACTGGAAGGCTGCTATTATGTATATTATTATGTATGTATATTATTATGTATATATGCTTGCATATATTTATATATACACATACATGCACGTGTATAAATATATATACACACATGAAGACACAAAAGCTATCGTAACAGTTGAACACACAGTTGTACAGCGCTAAAGCTCAGGGAAGTTTAGGTGCTATAAGCTCACAGAGAAAGGAAGGAAGAGATGGGTCCTCCTGGCCCTGGTGCAAAGTGAAACCTGGGCTTCCCCCTCTCCCTGCCGTAACTTTGCAGATGAGCATCAAGAGGTAGAACAAGTGGCTCATTTCCTTCCACTAAGCCACTGGAGGACAACATGGGATGGTGAGCCAGGCCTCTGCAGGAATAAACAAGCTGGACTCACCCACAGTGATGTCTTCATGGAGCAGATCTGTGGAGACTTGGATGTGAAGCCTGTTATAGGGCTGGGTGTTAAGAGCCAGGGGCCCTGCTGGGACAGACATGAGGCTCCAAAGCTGTTCAAGACCTCTGATGGGAACTGGGAGTGTGCACTGTTCCAGTGCAGAGATGGAATGTGAGAACAAAATACACATATATTGTTGCTGTGGTATGAAAGCTCTGCACCCAAGTTGAGAAACAGAGTAAGGCTAGAGTAAAATAATTCTGTCCCCACAAGCATATGGGTATGAATGCAACAGAGATGAGACCAATGAGTAATAGGGGATCGTTTGCTTGGGAAGAGTCTGGAAGGCAAAAAAAGGTGCGAGGGAGGCAAAAGGAAAATGAAAAAATTGGGCAGGGAGATAGACGATCAAGTGGAAAACAAAGAAATGAGGGAAGCTTCTGACAGAAGGAGTGCAGATGCCAAAGCTGAGCTGTGGACCCAACACCACCAGGGATGCTGGAGGGAACCCCCTCTTGGAGAGACCGCTGGTATCCCCACCGGCTTGATCCAGAAGACTTGGTATGGGAGGGTGCAGTAAGGATCCATAAACTTTTAAGGCAAGATAGACTTGGTACCTTAATACTAAGTGCAGGAAGAAAGACAATAGAATTTCAGCTTAATAAGTGCTTGATTTATAAGATTTCTTTGTAGTAATAGAATTACGTATCAGTACTAATACTAGTAACAAGCAACAGAATTGTCACCCTGTATTACTTGCAGTGACAGAATTGTGAATTATGCTACTAAAAAGTGGCATGTTTATAATACAGTTAAGGTGTTACAAGCTTTTTAGAGGTGTGTTTTGCTTAATTAATTAATTAACATCTCGGTCTGCTACCTCTCAATCCTCCAATCCAAAGGAGGAGAGTTGGACTTGGGGAGTAGCTGCTTTCCACCCTTGGGAAGAGCAAGAGGCACGAGAGGAGATTTAGACACACAGTGGACCCTCCCTCAAGGAAGAAGGTTTTTTAATTGGTCTAGGGAGGTGTAAACCCTTCAGACAGGGCTTCTAAAGGCCTGCGGCCACACATACCCCATGTCATAGTAGAGAGCAGGCATGATAGAGGCTGCTCAGCTCTGTTAAAGGCACGAGATGGGAGAGACGATGTCTCCATTTCTGAAAGAGGGAACAGTGCCATGGTAGGGCCATACCTGCCCCTCTGCCTTTTCCTCCAACACAAAAATAAAACTCTATGTCCACACTTGGAGTGGAGAGCACATGGGATGGTGGGTAAGCCAGCATGTTTGGACTGCAGTGCTCCCCAGACTGTGGCCTTGGTATTTGACCAGCCATTTCCCCCTCACTTGAATGGGAAACTCCTTTTCCATCACCTCCCAGCACAAGGTCTCCCACATTGATCAGATTTTCCTTGGATGAGCCTTCGTGAAAACAAAGAGTGACCATATCATGTAATGTTGCCCAACTAGCTGATGGCATCTCTGTCCTTGGAGTCATTGAACCCTCAGTTGGCCACGGCCAATGCCAGCCACTCTTGGCTGTTGGAGTTCATTAGAGCAACCTGGGGTGGGGCTGAGTTCTTCAACTTCATCCATCGATGGCTTATGCAGAGCTGCCACAGAGACTTTAAGTGCCACAGCTATTGAAGGGTGCAGGTCAAGGTGTGCCAGGACACACTAACAGGTGGGGAAATGGCTGAGCCTTGGCACCACCTATTTCAAGGCTTTTCTCTGCAGCCAGGTGAGGGTTGAGGAGGAGGAGAAAGATGAGGGAAGGAGGGAAATGTATATCATCTATCAGAATTCACCCAAGAGGAAACTAAATTCTTCCAATCTCACCCTAGGCAGACAAGTTTGGTTTTACTAATACATCAAAACTTCTGCTTTTGACTTTGTGACACATTCCCAGCAAAACATTAAGCCATAAATCACAGAGCAGTGGGATGATCGATTTAGCTTAATAAAGGGAGATGGTAGGAGGAGAAAGTAAATCATGCAGATGGGCTCAATTTGTGGCTACAAAAGCAATGTGCCAGCCTGTGTACACAGACAAAACATACAGCTCACAGTTCTCTCCACACCACTGCGACTCACCCCTGTTATTGGTTGCACTCCCATAGTCACTGCTGCTCAAACATCCCACTTATTCTCCCCAATTACTGCCAGTTCTTTTTATTCTGTGCAGGAGTGAAAAATCTTAATGACATTCCTAATGGTCACCAGTGTAGGTCCCTGCTCGATGTGCTACAGCTTGCACAGCAGACCACAGCACCCATCCTAAAACTGATGTTGCTGGACTCAGGAGGGAGACATCACGGTCCAGGGGACCTAGTACCAGCAGCGCCTGTGTGTTCACAGGAGCTGAGTGGGGGATCACCAGAGCTCCCTGACCTGCTGCTGCTGCATTGTCTCCGGCAGCTTCTGGGGATGTAATCCTCTGTCTGTGATCCCAGTTGTCACCTCCTCATCCTCCTGGGGCCAAGCGCCTGTGCCCAAGGCCCTAAAGCCTTGCTCTGATACAGCCCTTGTGGCTTCCTGGCCATGGCTTAGACTGTTGTGGACCTGATGCACAGTCATCAGGAGGGGCTGTGAGACAGCTGTACATCAGAGCCAGAAAAGGACTCAAGGTGACATCACCGGCAGAGGTAGAGTGGTTGAGATGGCATCACTACCAGCTCAAGAAAAAAGCCATCATTGAAAGGTATAAAACCTTCAAGAAGCAAACAAAGAAGTGAAATAAGGAAACTCAGCACCATCAAGGATGTGTCCTGGAGCTGCAGAGATCAACCCTTCTCCACCTGAGGTGGTGCCTGTGCGGTCAGCAAAGGTGCTGGGTGCTGTACAGGGTGGTGAGCTCCCTGAGCTGGGACCACATCAAGCTCCAGCTATCCTGTGTATGTTAGCTAGCAAATACTAGCTTTGCTCTTTGGGGCTGTGTGTGTCCTGCTTGCAGCACCTCCATCTATGTGCTGAAGTGCACCCAAAACAGCGTGGCCCCAGAGGGAGGCTCAGATCTCACTGGGGCTCCTGCACTACGCACCACAACCCAGATACAGGAAAGGCTGCTTGCAGGGGGAAAGACAGACTCTCGCATCCACAGCAAAGTTTGGGATTTGGGTCATGCAGTATGAGCCCAGCCACAGCAGCTGATGAACTGAATGGATGACAGTGCTTCAGGGGCGGCAGGAAAAGCATTTAAAGACTGTCAGGAGAGCACGAAAGTCAAGAGTTATTAAGGTTGCTGACTATGGCCATTGTGGGAAGTTGCAGCTACGTTGACCAGTCTACTGAAAGTGGCAAAGGGAGGGCTTGGAGAGAAAATTGCAGGTCTAGAAAAGGGAAGAATGGATTTAAAATAAGCGACCAAATTGCTGAAGGAACTGAGGTAGAAACACGTGTGCCTCTGCAGCAGCCAGCCTGCCAGTGGCGGAGGGAGCCTGGGCAGGATGCAATGGACAGCTTACAAGAGCTAATACTTGAGATCAGCTAAAACTTGAGATCGGGATCCAGATTGGCAATGAGACCTGTGAGGACAAAAGAGACTCGGCATCATGGATCTGATGTTTTGGTTTGTCAGAGGATGACTGACTCTTTGGAAGAGCTGTGCAGCAGCAGGCTGTAGCTGCAGCCCTCTGAGAGGGGCTCCTGGGAGGACATATTGACCCCTGGGCCAGGGAGGGGGCTGGCTAGTCTGATCCTGGGCTGGCTCATGTGGAGTCACCAGGTTACTGCATTTACACTTCCCCTCCCTCTGACTCCTCCCCAGCAAAGCGCTGGAGCCCTGGCCCTCCTCCTGTCTCCGGTCACCGCTGGCACACAGCTGCTGATGGAGGGATGCAGGAGCAGGTTTGAGCCAGACCTCAGTCAGAGCCTGGAACAAGCCAGAGCTGCACAGCAGCTGCTAGGACCCTGGGTGGATGTTGCTGTATAGGGGTGGTGGGACTCACAGGAGCCCCAGGAACAACCGTGAGTGATTGTAACCCCACCACAGCACTGTCCAACCTCATCCCAGTGTCAACAGGACCAGGGGAGGAAGTTGGAGGAGAATGCCACGGCCCACTGCAGAGGACTGTGGTGGCACTGCTGCTCTCCCTAATTGTGATGGGGTTGCTC